TTGTGGTTTCACATTTTGTGTTTTGCAGTTTTTCTCGCCGTTTTTGCATTTTTTACAATTACATATAAGGAAAGCAACATTTCATGTCCTAAGATAACCTTTCATTAATCATGAATTACATAACTTCTATCCAGGGGACCAGTACCCCAGCTAATATACAATATAAATCAATTGCTTCCATATAATAAATATAAGAAAAATACAATTATGGGTATTATGTAGAGAAATAAATAAAGGAACTTTTTGTGTCCTAAGATAACCTTTCATTAATCATGAATTACATAACTTCCATCCAGGGGACCGGTACCCCAGCTAATATACAATATAAATCAATCGCTTCCATATAATAAATATAAGAAAAATACAATTATAGGTATTATGTAGAGAAATAAATAAAGGAACTTTTCATACTTCAAATAACACATTTTAAATTAAAAGTTTAATTTTACATTGAAAGCACATAGATACTGTGTTGTGTAAGTTTCTAAATATTGTCTTTGATTTTAAATTACAAAATGAGTTGAATAGTTTGGCTAGTGAGAGAGAGTGACTGTTAAATCGAGGGCTGAATAAGTTTTGGTTTTATTCTGTACAACGTTTTTAAAGTGTTTTCTTAAAACATGGTATAAAACTGTTATACATAAAAGTGTTAGAATTCATATTATTGGCAGAAATTATTATATTTAAATGTCTGTTTGTACTAGTTTCATATTCATAGAATGCTTGAAAACAATGTGTCTTTCTTTTCAGTATTAGCACCTATATGGATTTGATATGTATTGTTACATGAAAGGCGAAATTTTGATCCTTTCTGCTAAACATCAGCCCTTTGGTTCAGGTAACAAATAAGCAATACCTGATAAGAACGGCTAGTTTATGTAAATATAATAAGTCAAAAAAACTTGCAACTCATTTTTAATGAATAAAAAACAGGAACAATTATCTTTGACACAAGTGTTCGGATAAGTTCAAAAATCATATTCGCTTAAACTGATTCACATTTAAACTTACAATCATTACTTAAAATGTCTGATGTTAATCTGGGTTTCAAATTTGAAAGTGAATTAATGTAGAAAACACATACCTATATAGTTAAATATGAAACTAAAAACAGTCCTCTAACTGATAGACTTGAGAATGGTATTTATATTTAAAAAATACTATTTTTTATTTATATCCAGGAACTTGTTTCTTTAAATAGGAGGTAAAACGACCATCTAACCTTTTTCCAGGCTTGGAAGTTATACTCATTTTTGCAAGAGCCCTTTTGATCTTTCCCCGGTTATTAAGAGTCTTGAATCCTTTCTTTTGTTGTTTACTTTCCCCAACAGGACTAGACAAAGTTCTTAGATACTGGTGTGGAGAAGAGGTGCGAATCTGGAGAAACGTACTTACTCCCAGTTCAAAGGGAATATCAAAGTGGGAAGAAAACCTAGCTCTGGGATCAGGCTGCAAGCAAGAAATTTCTGAAAGTTTCCTTCCTCGTTGGCGAGGAACATTTTCTGGTGTGTTGAGCATCTCTTTAAAAACTTGAAAAAAAATATAATTAAAATAATAAATTCTACCCCTAAACTCCGTTTTTCTTAGTTAATATACTAATAAGTCTGTCAAATATTACACAAGACAAAAAATAACTTGATGATAGTGTGCAAACTTTTACCCAATTTCAAAGTTGTTTTTTTTATATATGAACGTGAAGTAAGTATTTAGACATTAAGATTCGCTTTACGTATTAACAATTTGGTTAGAAATTTGAGAATACAGATTGTGTTCCATATCAATTATCATATTTTCGTTCGTATTATTTGACTTTACATCAACCAAGTAATTATTAATCCAAAATTATTATGATACAAAACTCCTTGTGCTTAAATCTTAAACACTTTTTAATCTACTAAATAATAGTAAATATAATGGTAAAGTCACAGCTTCAGTTTCTCCAAATAATCTTTATCTTCACCAGATTAACTGGGGCTATTTTGGCAAGGTAGAGTGGTGTTTTATGATGGTTGCAGTATACAAATGCTTACATCATATATACATATTATTTTGAAATACTTTTTACGTATTAAATGCTGCTAAAGACAAAGTAGAATTTTCAAAAACTACGTTATTGATCTCAATTTGCCCAAATTATGTTCGCCTCTATTCTTTCTACCAATCAATAAAAATTTCAAGTACTATTTTTACACTCCTTTGATTTTGAATCCAAAATAATCAAATTAAAAGGAATGCAAGAAATAATGTATGCAGTTCACGTGCTTCTAATATATTCTAGGCCCATTGTTTTCTAATTCTTTTGCCAGCTTTTAACATTTAAACCATAATTTACAAATGTTTGAAATATTGAATATTGTCAGTTGAGAAAGTGCAAATTTTTCTGATTAGGAACAACTCTGTTTAGATTGTGATAATTTTTACAGAAGAAAACAGTTTTTTTAGGTCTACATTTAATAAAACATAGTCTGAAAACTCAAAGACAATAGAATGTTATCCGCAAGCAATATCTTACAAACAAATATTTTGTTACTATGAGTGAATGCTGAGGTAAAACAGCAAGATCCTACGAACACTATATTTTTGTGTGTAAAAAATGGAAAGTTAAGGCAAGAAAAAGAAAGAAAAAAAAAACATTCAGCCTCACCTAAAAGATTGGATCTAACAGTAATTGAAAGATGGGTTGTTCCTCGTAAGATTTCCAGAGCGCGAGCATGGCTAACATGTTCGAAACTTTGTCCATTTACTTCCAGAATCTAAAAATTTATCAATTATTTTATGTTAAAAATTATCCCTGAATAACACACAATTAAGTTAAAACAACCTAAAAGTTTGTTTTTTTCTGAAAGTAACAAAAAAGAAACAATAATATTCTTGAAATAACTTATTTTTAAAACACTATTCCAAAACAGTCAATTGATAAAACTAATCTTAGCTTCTCATAATAATAATAAAAGACAAAACAGAAGAACAACACTGGTTTTTAATAGTTGTCATAAAAAAGCTATTTCTGACCACCTTTTTTCATTGTTTTTATATTACTCTTAAACATTTACCAACCTGGTCTCCTCTTCGTAAACCCATCTCTTCTGCTTTAGAGCCCTTGTTAACCTTAGAGATGAAAATCCCAAATCCTCGCTCATAACCACCAAGAATAGAGAAGTGAAGGACATCATCTCTCGTAGAGCGAGCCAAAGTAATAGTTCTACTACGAGCTTTTGTAGCACAAGCAATATTAAGTAACCGTAATTGACTCTGCATTTTCTGAAAGAAATGATAAATACTTTACATATTCCATGTTGTTTTAACCCATTTAATAGCAAGACGTCAGACTTCAGTGTGAGAAGTAAAAAAACTAGTCAAAATTCATCCACGTACAAGGATATAAGTTACTTTTTATGAAATATTCCACCAAAGTTTTTACTAAAGTAATAATTGTATTTATATTACCTCTTGTTCAAGTACAGACTCAAATTTTTCCAAAAATTCCATCATATCTGCATCCTCCTCAAAGTCCGGAAAGTGGTAACTCACCCACAGCAGGACAACCCTTGTGACCTGGAATATGTTCACACAAAATAGATATGATTATTGTTTAACTTTGGAAATTCTTATTTAAACATGAAATTGAAAAAAAATTACTGATAAGATTTCATTTCAATAGGAAAAATTTACGAAATAAAACCGATTAATTATTATTAGTATTATGTAGTTCAGGCTGGAGCATCTTACACATTTTGTACATAAAATAACCCTCATCTCCAGGTAAGTATAGGCTGAGTGTCATCAGTAAATAACTCATCAAAACGAGAAATACTTTGGTAATTATTAGATGTTTTTATTTAATAAAATGTTGTTCTATTAGTGCTATGTTTATATTTGGTGTATTCATAATTTTCTGTTTAGTTTTAAATGACATGACAACAGCTTTAATTTAAGGAAGAAGCTTCAATCTGAAGTATAAATAAATATTGAAAGGAAAAATACAACTCTGAATACATTAATTTAACTAAAAAAAAAGCTCATTTTCATAAAAGGTAAAACTTGCACGTCAAAATAAACAACTTAAAATACAAGTAGTACACCTTATAAAGAACAAATTCTAAGATATTCACCTTATCTCGCAACTGAGGGTCTTTGAACCAAGTTAGGAGATTATTAGCCACTGTTATTGGAGAGGAAATAAAAGTCCTCTGGGTCAGTAGGAAATCCTCTACGTACCTAGGATCAAGAGTATTTTCTTCGACTAGCTGGGCCATTAGGCTATCAGGTGTTCCCTGTATCAAGACAAAGAAATGCTGATTTTCATTCAACTGTCGGGAAAAGCTACCACAGAGCAAATATACACAAACATACACACAGATTCCAGTTCACTTGTAAGAGTTAACGGAAATACGCATATGAACGGGTTTTTAAGCTTTGGAAAAACTAAACATGATACCAAACTACAAAATTACTCTTTCAACATAAAAAACAAATCTGTAAAATCTGAAAATCTTTAAACAATTTCATGACATTTGTTTATTCATGATGTTAGAAAAACACGAAAGTTCAAGAAGTCTTGATAGAAATGAATAAAAACCCCATAACCCCGTATAGGCATTTTACAAGCCATTGAATATAATAGGTTCGATCTTCCAATAGCACACAATCCAACTATAAGTTTATAGCTTGAACTAAAAGATATGTCTGTATCAGTTACTAAAAATTGATAGTAATTCTTTTTTTCATACTTTTTTAAACCCAGACTATATATATTACTGAAGTAAAAAATAACATAAAAATAAGACACTGTACATATTACTGAAGTAAAAAATAACATAAAAATAAGACACTGTACAACTTATCTTATTTGATCTCTTTATGAAAGTGTTTTTATTACCCAACAAGACAACTTTTTGTCTTGTCAACAACCGTTATGATGTGAACATTTTTTCCAAGCTGGTGAAACATAATTATAATTAATTATACTCGTCATAAAATATTAGTATTAGGCCTATTATATTTTTAACACTACATTCTTTATCTAGTCCTTTAGGGAATATAATAAGCCTAATATTGATGTCTTACAAGAAGTATAATTAGTTGTTTGTCTTGTTTTTACTGTATAGATCACTGAACTATTTTAAATGCAATTTCCTGAAAATAAGAAAGCTTTAAAATTTTTATCAGTCCCTACCCTTATGACCACATGGCCCTGCTGACTGCCTCCATCTAAGACCCTTTGTTCTGTTACAAGAACAACTTGACCATTTTCTTCATGTTTTCTAGTATTCTCTTCCCCCTGGTGAAGAATTTTGTGGTAGTCACTTTGAGCAATACAAACAAACTGACAGTCGTCCAACATGGTCCGCATCACCCCTTCGTGATACATTTTCTCTGTTGTGGCAGTTATTCCAAAGCTAAAAGAAAATAATTAATCCAAGATTAATGTTAAAATGAAAGAAATCAGTCTGTTTCAATGATCTCATTTAACATTCAATACAAATAACTGTTTTCTCAGAAAATAATAATCTTAATTAATATTCACAAAAAATTTCCTATTTTAAGTTTACTTCTAAGTAGAGACAAAACAAAAAATTATTTATTAATCCCTTAAGCTTAGAAGAAAAACAGCCAAAAATATGCAAAAGTCATTTCATCAAGAATTTCCACTAAAACTTAAGAATGAATACTTTTTCTTTTTTAATAAAAAACTCGAGAGTAAATGAGAATACATTTTTTTTTCAGTTTTTCTTTGTTCTATACCTGTCACCAACATGCAGCTCATGGCTTGTTCCATCTGGAAAATCAACTTCAACTTGACCGTTGACAATGACAGACCAGGAGTCTAACTCTTCTCCATCGTTCATCACAACCGTTCCTGCTTTTTGAACAACGGCAAAAACCATTACCGCACACAAAGCTCGTCTAACAGCTATCGTCATGTTGGCAAAAGCCTGTTAAAAAAAACGCTCTGTTACTACTCAGAATCATTTGAATAATCAATATTCTGAAAGGAAAATATGTTATGCAAACATCAACAGAGATACAAAGTTACATTTCTCGAATAATTAAATATTCTATGTAATAGTTCTAGTTATAACTATAAAGTTATTTTCTTATTTTCCAGCAGTATTTTCTTTATTTCACAGTATTCAAAAACGACAGTTTTCATTATATTGAAAAATAACACACAGAGATGACAAATGACACAAATCATAAATAATAAAACAGAAATATTTCTTCTACCAATAAAAACAAGTGTTGATATTTTTCTTTTAAATCTTGAAGTTTCACAATCAATATACATGCACAGAATTCAGATACCAAACCTTACACACTGTAACTGGAAAAAATAATAAAAGTGCGAATAATGAGAATAATAAGGCGAGTTCTGAAAATAATTAAAAAAAGTTTTCCATAAAATAATATAAAAAGATAGAGATATTAAAGGATATAGCTACTGTCCTGTGTTAATGAGACAGTAACAACACAGCCATAGTGCTTGTTGTTAATGTCTAATTAACTCAGCACTATAGCTATGTTGTTAATGTCTAATTAACTCTAGCTACAGTGCTGAGTTAATTAGACATTAACAACATAGCTACAGTGCTGAGACATTAACAACATAGCTACAGTACTGAGTTAATTAGACATTAACAACACAGCCATGGTGCTGAGTTAATTAGACATTAACAACACAGCTACAGTGCTGAGTTAATTACATTAACAACACAGCTACAGTGCTGAGTTAATTAGACATTAACAACACAGCTACAGTGCTGAGTTAATTAGACATTAACAACACAGCTACAGTGCTGAGTTAATTAGACATTAACAACATAGCTATAGTGCTGAGTTAATTAGACATTAACAACATAGCTATAATGCTGAGTTAATTAGACATTAACAATATAGCTACTGTACTGTGTTAGAGACATAAATGAAATAGCTATAGTGCTGTGATGATTAGAAACGTTACTTGTCTTGCTATCTTAATTAAAGACATAGCTTTATGACACGAGAGTTATTCAGTATTTTTTGAGATCCATAGACCCTCATACCGACTTTGAGACTTGTTAATGTAATTTTACAGATAGACTAGCATAGCATTGTTAAAATTATACAAGGGATTATCAAGTTGTAGACATTGTTCAGAAACAAAAGTAATTTTAGAGAATTACACCAAATCACAAATTTATCTAGTAACAAAGAATGAGTAAAAAAATGGCTATTACATGACACCAGAATTATAAACCTCTGTCAATCATAACCGTGGCCACTGACAATTTGATAACGGTTAACATAAAAAAATAATTATTACATTTGTGAAAAACTGTGGATCAGTCAGTTTGGATTTACTTTTTGTCCCTATGGAATAATATTCTACATATACAGTATAAATACAGCTTCAAATAATACAAAATATAATTGCGAAAAAAAGCTTAGTTGGCCAGATGGGGTACTTCACCCAGGCTCCAAACGTAGAAGGGACCCAATGAAAATTGTGAAAGGGTAAAGGATAAAATATATATATAAAAAACAAAATGTTATAATTAGGCCTGGCAATGATAAAATAATAGTTAAACACAGTTTTATCTCCACATTCAATATCTATTGAACAAACTTTCAACTCATCTCATGCAGTTATTGCGAGCCTAACTGATATGCGATAAGAACAAATTTTCTTCTTAAATACTGTAATGCCTGCACACGCAATGCATTTCCAATTAATAATAACGTATCACCTGGTGTTACAATCATAGTGAAATACAAAATATTGTACACAATTATCACAACTGATAATAACATTGTTCCAAGAATACCGTACATTTATAGAAACAAGTTGACTTTGAAAAGTCGAAAGTTTACTCACTAAACTGTGAACACAGACATAAAATCTCAACTGAGTTATTGTTATTATTCAACATTTATTTAACTGTGTTGTGAATTAAAAGAAGATTTAGTATGATTCAAGAAAGGAAACTAAAAAATGTGAAATTTTGATTTTGAGGTCAAGTGGAAACAGAAATTAATATATCTAAACTTAAAAAGAAAAAAGATTTACTGATATAGGGTAAAACAAGGTTGTGCAGTGCAGAAAAAATATGATTATCCACTAAAAATGCAGTTTCTGCTATTAAATAGAAAAAACAAAACAACTTTCTTACTGGTAAGTGTTGCAAGAATTCCAATAATACTTCAATATCATCTTCTGTCCTTTCTGAAGAGTCCTTTTCCAGACATTCTCGTACAGTGTCTCTCACAGTCAGGCACTGCCAACAGTAAAAAAAGTCATTTTCAGCCAATCTGAAAATTAAAAGAATGTAAATTTTCTTCTGGTGTTTACTGTGCATGTTATCTCCAGGGCAGACTGCAACAAATGACGAGCATAAGTTAACGAGCTTGGAAATACAGAATGCTACTGAATTATTCATAACAGCTGCCGTTACTAGAAAAGATGACAAAAGTATCCCATTAACAGAGCAAAATTCCATTAGTCAGCATTTTGATAAGTTACATCAGAGCACATTTTATTCAGAAATCTGCTTTATCACACATGCACTATAACTAGAAAATGACTTGTTTGAAATAGCTTTCACGTGACCATTTTGTGGAACTTTAGCTACAGGACCTCTATTCTGATATTGCTAAAAATATTATTGAATTATCTACTGCTCCAAAACTGCATCTTCATGAATGAATAAATATTTCAAAACATTTATCATATATAGTGGCCCAAAAGTAGGTATACCCCTTTCATTTAGTTAACATTCTGTAATTTCCTACTCCAAACTTTGTCCTTGAGTACTCCCCAGAAGAAAAAGTCCATAGGGGTACAGTCCAATGACCATGGAAACATCTTGATTGCTCCTCTGTGGCCTATCCCTCTGAAGGAAATTTTCATCAAGACAATTGCAATTTACAGAACTTCAAACACAGACAGACTTGTGTCAGAAAGTTTGCAGAAGTGTGGCAGGCAGACTCCAGGATTGTGTGAACAGTGATGGGTTTCAATTTGAACACCTGCAGAATTAACTTTTCCATAATTCTATGTAAGGTGTAAAGTGCTGTTAAATAAGTTATCACTTATCAACTGTATACTTTAATCTAATTATTTGAAACACATTATCAACTGTATACCTACTTTTGGGCCACCCTGTCTATATATATATAAACTTTTAAACTATAAAAAAATATATTCTAAAACCTGTTAAGTACCATTTTGTTTTTGTATTTTTATCCAAGAAATTACATAAGACTTTCTAGCTAGCATTTAGTTGTTCAGGAATATATAAGCCTACTTTTCCTGTTACATTTTTAAAGTGATAACAACACATCATAAAACTGTGGAAACAAACTAAAATATTATAAAACACCAAATACTGTACACAGTATGATGACTGGAAGATATTCTACTTGGATAAAGATGGTTTAATTTGTGTAAGTAATAGAGTATGAGTAATCAAAGAAGGTAAGTGTAACTTGGAAAAGTATATCCACATTTTAATACAGGTGGCTTTCAAGAAAAAATGTTTATGTTAAATTTTCATCAACTGAGGATGCAAACCAAGAAACACAAAATTTTATGAAAGTAATAAAACGTCACAAAATACTACTATACATCCGTTGCTAATTTCATAAATTAAATCTTTGTTTCACGTTAAAAGTAAATTAAGTGCATATAATTTCAGAAACATTTTTATAAAACTATAATGTGTCAGGTCATTCTAAATAAGTAGAATGTGGTTCTTTTTTTGTGAGAATTCTGCATTTGTTAAGAAGATGAAATAACCTTACATCAATTAACTCTGCAAGGTCCTCCTCGTCATCAGAATCCACAGCACTCTCTGTGAGTCCTGAAAGGTCCACTTCTTGGTCCTCCAGTGAAGACTGCACTGACTGCATGGTGTCAGATCCAGAGTAGGCCGACGAGGTATCACTACCATGAGAGTTTCTGTTGGACTTGAACAGTTCTCCTCGTTGTAGTATGGTTTGGACTTGTTGATATTCTGCGAGCTGCACGGGTATTGGAACAAGAACATTTTTTTTTTAATACACGTTGAAGTGTTAGAAAACGTTTCATGTATCAATAGAAAAATGAAATAAATGTATGATCTATTTTCGAGAAAAAAAAATCACACGCGTGCTTAATGTTTAACGCCATTAAGTGCCCCAATGAAATAAAATTATGCATTTTTCTGGTTAGTTTGAACTGTACATAATTTGATTTAAAAACTTTTCAATAGGTGGCATATCCAATTTCAAAATTTTCAGACCAGTAAATTATATAAACTTTGCAATATTATAAGCAATCCAGTTGAAAATAAAGGCTACATGTAGTTAATTTTTTTCGTTGCCCCTGTTATTGTTGTTTTTTTTTGGGGGGGGGGAGTTTGCGCCAACCTACTACTCGAGGGCTATCTGCATAGCTGTCCATAATTTAGACGTGATAGGCTATAACAGGGGTTCCCAATTAAGGGTGCAAAATAAGGATCCAGGGGGTGCGCGGAAGAGGCCTATACAAGGTTCGTTTTCCTCCAAATGTCGCCAAGAGGAAATGTCTAATGCACACTTTTCAGGGGAGGGGTGCAAGGGCCACAAAAGGTTGGGAACCACTGGGCTAGAGGGATGGCAGCTAGTCAAAACCACCCAATGCTAACTTTTGGACTATTATTTTTAAGAACTAAAAGTGGGTTGAATGTTACATTACAACGATCCCACGGCTGAAAGGACAAGCATATTCTGTGAGGGATTCGAACTCACGACCCGCAGATCGCTAGGGAAATCCTGAGAAAGAATGTATTTGTTGGCATGAACACGGATTCGACTCTACGTCATCTTGCAATCCACGTGATCGGACTCAATCCTGTCCAGACGAATGGATATAAAAGCTACATTTCAAACAAGAAGACAATCGAATCCTAGCTCACAGCTACCTATTAAAAAAGAAGACGATCGAATCCTAGCTCACAGCTACCTTTCAAACAAGAAGACGATCGAATCCTAGCTCACAGCTACCTATTCAAACAAGAAGACGATCGAATCCTAGCTCACAGCTACCTTTCAAACAAGAAGACGATCGAATCCTAGCTCACAGCTAGCTACTTTCAAACAAGAAGACGATCGAATCCTAGCTCACAGCTACCTTTCAAACAAGAAGACGATCGAATCCTAGCCTCTGTCACCACATACACTATATTCAGAATTTCCCTAAAGACTGTAACAGATTAGCAGCCGAAACGTAGATTATAAACTTTAGTAATTAACCGAGTAAATTAGTAATTAAATGATTAATCTCTCTGTAACTATTTAATTGTTTGCCTACTTGAAACCACATTTTTGAATGATACATAAGGATTTCGATTGGCAACAAATAATTGTTTTCTAAACTATATTACTTAACTGCCTTCTCTGGTTTATTATCCTAGAGATAATTATAAAACGTAATCCCAAACGACTGACATATACCAGAGAAATGGTACTAACTTAGGGCTCAGTTCTCATGGTTTATAGAACGTAATCATGTGACGAAAGACGCAAACCCACAAAGCTTGTGATTAAGTGTAAAAAATAAAATGTATGTTCACATGGAGGCCAGATGTCTGGGAACTGTCCAACTTTTCTCTTTTGTTAAATAGTTTGTTTAATCATTTCTCATCAACGTATACACGCATTGTTGATTCACTACAAACATTACATAATAAACGAGGCCTTAAATGTTTCGTATACAAACAGACTTTAGACTCCTACGTACTCATAAAACAATTATAATAAAAGATTTATCCGAGCTCTCATATTTTTACGGTTTATGCTCTATAAATATAAAGTAAACCAAGGGGATCACTCCCTATATAGATCAATAATACGGGGGAGCTCATAAAAATATGTTTGAATTCATAGTTTTCATGGTTTATATCCTACAAATATACATCTTGTTTAGAATAACCTAGGGTGGGAGTGGGTTATTTCATATATATATAGGTCAATACAGAAGGGTTAAGTTTTTTATTTTATTTTGAGTTCATGAAAGAGTCGAGTTTTACATTAGTTACCTATACGCCACAAGTATATGACAAGAATTGGGGTTGAACCATTTGAGATTATTCGGTACTGACCTGTATAGGGAGCGACCCCATGAGTTTGTTCTAAATCAAGTGTATGCTTGTAAATAAAGTACAGAAAACGATAGGGTTATGCAGTCCTGGTTTGGGAAAGACTACCTTTTTCTAAAGAAAAACCTGGAGATGTGGAATGACACCCACACTAAATAATTTAGATGGAGTAAATCTGTAGAAATGCTTTTTAAAAGTAGTATCTATTTAAAACAGGGTACGCTAGGCTTAAATAGAATATTCGCGCAAAGTTACGAGGGCCTATCTGCACTAGCTGTCTCTAATTTTGAACTTATAAACTAGACGGAAGGTTGGTAGTAGACAGCACCTACTGCCAACTCTTGGAGTACTCTAATATAATAGTGGGCTTTGACTATCTCTCTTATAACGCACCCACTGCCGCAATGTGCGGATCGCGATTTCTATATTTAATTTACAACAGTGCGGTATATTATAGTTAATTAACGAAACAAATGTGGAAACCTTAAATAAATAGCAGAACTTTGTTAGAATAAAATATACTAAGTTGATGATGTTTCAGAAGTCCCAAGAATCATGATAATAATGGCTATTTACTAACATAAAAGGAGACAAAAAGATCAACAACGAAACACATTAGCAGTCATTACATTAGTATTTGTGCAGGTTTGTTTGTCTGTGGAATTTCACGCAAAGCTACTCGAGAGTTATCTTTGCTAGCCGTTTCTGATCTTAAAGTGATAGACAATAGCGAAGGCAGCTAGTTAACGACACCCACCGCCAAATCTTGAGTTACTCTTTACCAACGAACAGTGCGATTGATCGTCACTTTATAACGCCCTAAAGTCTGAAAGGGCGCGTATGTTAGGCAACGGGTTACGACCCGGCTACCTAATCACCAGGCCTAGTATGTATGTACAAGTTATACAATTTAGTGTGGCGACAGTTCGTTTCTACACGAGTATCAGTGCAGTATTGTGGACTGTGATCCTTTCGACCCTCCCTCCCATCTCTTTCTTTGATACACACAATTACAGAGGTCAAGCAAAAAGTTTAAGATATAATCAGAAGCAACTATATGTATATAAACAACAATTAAGATTTAAGCGAGATAAAAAGTTAAGTAATCTAATGAACCCGTAAAGTGAGCTGCTCTCTCCCAAACCTATTAAATAACAGTGAATCTGTTCCACCAAACTCACTGATCACCTAGGTACTTTGTCCGTTTTTATTGAAGCTAGCAAACATCTGATTTAGTCTTGAAGCAACGACAGGCCAAAGTCGACAGATACGAGTTGTCAACTTATGCTGTGGATGATGAACTGCCTTGTCCAGGTGTTCGAGAAACGGACTTGGGAATGGTTCCACATCCTACTAACATCATATTGAGGACATGCAGCCAATTCGCAACAGCCTGTGACTCGCTAGTTTACATTTGTCCGATGATTTTTTTATAAAAGGGGAACCATCCAGATCTCTTCTTTATGATGTAGTTACTTCCATGAACAATCTGGGGAGCTTAAAACTACAGATACAGCAAAGGCTGAATTATCAATAAATTCACATTTCAGATCCTGACTCACCATCAGATGTCTGATTTGCATAACAATGAACTGAGTTTCATGTTCTTTTATAGAATTGTACTTAGTTGTTTAACACATTCCAGTAACTACGTCTCCGTACTGGTTTTCTATTGTTTCTTCTTCCAAACACATTTCAATCGACCGCCCTTCCTTCATTTCTCAGTAGATCGTCTTGAAATTTGACAAGTGTTATACCTTGGTCCAATACTCCCAGACACCTTTTTATTTATTTTTTGACTTCGGCCTTTTTAAAGACTTTGTGAGGTCAAATGTCATGGAACATAAAAATGTATATTTTGGGCTCTTGTGCGGTAATATTTACAGCAATCAAGATCAAAATGGCACAAATATAAATTTTCATGCGCCCAACACACTGACATTAAAATGCCCAATTTTGACTGTTTACGGGGGAGTGAGCAGAACTCACCAAAGAGCATAGTTTGTTTTAGGGGTGGGAGGTCAATTACTCGGACGTATTTTGACCAATCTACATACAATTTGATACTTTTCTACAGGCACCATACAATGACAAAAAAATAAATGTTAGACCTACCCATTTTTTTGTAATTATAGGGGATCAAGATGCCACAAAAAGCATAACTGTAGGTTGAATTTTTTTTACAATTGTTCCGCCGTATTTCAGCCAATTTACATGGGAATTAGTACAAATATACCTCCATGCAGGTCCCTAGCAGTGAAACAGAACGTTTTCGATTTTTATGGTGTCAAAATTGGCCATGTTGAGATTGTGTGGTGGAGACATGTTACAATTACCGCGAATGTTGGCCCCTTTAATTATTTAATTGTTTTGTGCAGTGTATCCACTATACTCTAACATGAACCAATATACACCAAAATCACTTAATTGTTTTGTGCAGTGTATCCACTATACTTTAACATGAACCAATATATACCCAAATCACTTAATTGTTTTGTGCAGTGTATCCACTATACTTTAACATGAACCAATATATACCCAAATCACTTAATTGTTTTGTGCA